GTGTTCCTTTACGCTGGGGAGCTGAGACTGTAGCCTCATCATCAGAGATAACTTCATAACAGCCTTTTAGTGGAAATAGCCCTTATTTACAAGAAAGTTCCGTCGCTGAGCTGAGATGTAAAATAGGAGCAGGAGATATTACTCATAATGCACTGGAAGGGTTGATTCCATACAAGGCCTTTTTATAAGCTTCTAAAAGCAGCAGTTTCAGGTTAGAAATCATGGAGAAAATCTTGGACCCATTGAAGTCGGCACAAGCAATTTCCTTTGCTGTGTTATGAGGAACATTTTAGCTTATGAAAGCCCAGCAGATTTTTTGATCTAATTTCTTTTTTTTTTTTAATCATTTATTCTATTTTGATTCCTTCCTGTACATTGCAGCTGGACAGTGCAAGCAGGTTGGTGTCTTTTCTGCTCCTGCATAATTTGACTGTACCATTCCTACGCCCAAGAACAGTGAAGACAACTACACGTTCTTTCAATTTCTTAAAAATAAAATGAAATAAAATAGAACCCACAACAAAACCCAGCAAAACCAAGCGGCCCTTATGCCCCCCAAACTAGTGATATTAATTCTCTATGTCCTCCTCATTGTGTTGCTAAAGTGACCAGAACTGGGGGGGTTGAATTATCTTGGTGGGTTAAATTATCTTGGGTTAAATGACTTGTTCCTTCAAGCAGGGAAATGCTGTCCAGAGAAAAGAAGTACAAATACTGTGGACAGAGTAAGCTATAGCAACACCACCATCATTTTAGCCTTGTGGTGTTTCCCATCTTTGTTCCTTCCCTCTTCCTTTACATTCAAGTACAAGAGCAGAGAGCTGTATTTGAAAAGAAAAAATAGATTCTGTTTCAAAGGAATTAGCACAGTAATGAACCCAGAAGACAGGCAATGCCATCAGTTAGGCAGTACATACCCCACATAGTAGATGCTTCACAGGTCCAACCAAACGTGCCATATAATACATCTTTTTTAAGTCTATAAGGAACATATTTTTATTATTTTTGCATTCCTGCAGCCAGATTCTCCAGTTAAGAAAACAAGGAAATACTAAAATCTGTGTGGTTTGGTTGGAGAGGGTTTGCAACCTCAGACGAGGAGCAGAAGTTATGTAAAGAGCCAGGCACAAAGTTCTTCTGAGTAAAACACACCATCTAGAGGTGGCCACCACTTCTGCAAGTGCTCAAAAAAACTGCAGACAGAAGCTCACAAAGAAGAAAAATCACCTTGACAGAGGCAACAAAATACTTTAATCAGAACCTTTGCGGTCTTTGAAATGAGTATTTCCGAGGGAGTTTCTAAAAAAAGGCACTTCTGCACCAGGTGAAATCAGGCTCCTGTTTTCAGAGGCCTTTTGGAAAGAGAACCAGGTCACTGCTCATGCCTCGAACATCTGAAGGTCACAGGAGGGAGGTGGTTGTTCAGGGGGCTGGGGCTTGGAGGGATGCACAGATGGCTCTGTGGACACACTCCTGCTTTCAGGTTGTATCTCTGCAAAGATTTATCCAAATATGATGGGATGGCATACAGGAATGGATCTTCCTAGAAGAAAGAGGAAATCCATAAGCTGTGAAACTCCTGATGAAGTCAGGGAGCACAGTGGAGATGCTGCAGGGATTGTGGGAGTGGCAAAGCATCCCCCTGGTCTGGACGCAGTGAGAGGAGCCTCGGTTCCAGCCTATGGAGAAACATTCCCTGTCCTGGTGACATTTCAGCCAGTTTTTGAGGGTCTCCAGGCTTTGTAGATCCTGGGAAAGGGGATGCAGAGAGCTGAAGTCCAGCTTTTCAGGGCATATCTGATATTTATTAAACAGTAAATGGCTGGTGTTTGCTTTCTGATCTTGGTTACAAGTGCAGGGTGTCCCTGAAAGCCAAAAGGTGAGGATGGGAAATAAAGCACCTCACACTCCTTCCCACCCACCACAGGGCAGGGGCAACATTCCTACCCTGATCTAATTGCAGGAACCGTCTGTAAACAAACATCTGGTTTGAGACTGCCATATAAACAGGAACCCCAGCACCTTGCAGGGCTTTAATGAACTCTGTTTGCTCTGTCAGTCTGCCTCGGGAATGTCGGAGTCAGAACGTTTCCCCAGTGACAGCTCCATCCTTTAAACTCCGCAGATGAGAGAGCGTGCGGAACGAGCCGTGCTGAGGCAGGATTAGGAGTTACCAGGGTGACACTTTGTAGTTTGGAGGATGCTGACAAGGAGCCTCTCCAAAGCACAAGACCTTCGCTGCAGCTGAAGCAGCCACAGAGACCCAATTTGCCTCTGCTGCCACTGAAGTGGCAAAGAAGACTGTGAATTCCCCCTGCCTGGGTCTCTGCTGCTATTGCCTGTGCATTACAGCTGAATTCCTAAGGGCAGGATGTGGCTCCTGGCACCAGGGATTTGCCTTGGGAAGAGGGATGCTCCACTCCATTGCTTGGCTTGGTGGTGCTGAAGGTCTTCGCTTTCTCCTCTATCAAGCTTTCCGACAGAGAAGGAGAAATAACTGTGGCAGCAGAAGCCTCTGGGAGTCTTTAATTTGGCCACCATTGGCAGAGCACGTCAGGTTTCTTTCCCTTTTTCTGCAGGTACAAATGAATTAATTAAATTTTTCGGGTAGGACTCCAACAACCCATTGGCATTTCAGGTGTCCACAAAACCACATCAGTCAGGGGGTTCTCAATGGCCTACTTGGAGTTGGAATCCTGGAAAAAACTTCAAGATCTGTCTTAGAAATGCCCAAACTTTGCCTGCTTCAGGCATTCCCTGTCCTAGCCCACAAATTCCTTGCTCAGTTGCAGATCCAGGCCCGGGATTAACTACAGGCTGTGTATCAGACATCAGCATATACAACTGATGGAGAAGTAGATCCCTCAGCCTGGAAAGCCATCCAGCATCTAGAGAGGTTTGTGGTGTTTTTTCAAGAAAGTTGAAAGCAGAGATTCAGTATCTGCTCTTATCAATGATGAAATAATAAAAATTTATTAATACAGTTGCAGCAAGAAATTAGTGAAATTGTCAGTAAGAAGAGACAAGGAGCTGAGAGTTGGACATTTGGCTGGACATCCAGCAAACCCCCAAAGGCTCCTTAGTGTGGTTGTCAGTGTCACTCAGGGGTTTTTAGGATAACAGTGACATCAGAGTGAGAAAAAGCCTCCAAAACCACAGGAACCTACCTCTTCCCAGAAGCACAGCCCTTTCCCTCATAAAAGAACAGCAGGTGTTAGAGTGTCACCAAGGGACTTGATTTTGACCATAAAGCCAAGAAAAAGCAAGTGCCTTGGGTAATTCTCGGCTTCTCAGTGACCTCTGAGGGAGCAAATCTGCCAAGGCTAAATTGGCTGACTCTTCAGGCCAAAGACAATGATTTATCTGCGTTGGTCGGGCTCAAATCCTGGAGGCTTTATTGAGATTAGAAGGAAACTTAGTCAGCAGAGAGCAAAGAAGCAGCCAAAATTTGGCCTTTCTGAGGGCAGGGAGGTGTGGTGCTGTGGGAGGATGAGACAGAGCAGGGAAGGGGGTGCAGTGCCCAGAGCAGAGCAGTGCCCTGATCCCAGCTTTGTGCCAAATCCCAGTCCTTTCCCTGTGAGAGCTTGGGTTGGGAGCAGTCCTGAAGGGCAAACACAGAGATGGGAGCTGTGCTGCCTCGTGTGAAGCAGCAGATCTCTGCAAAGTTCCCAGTGCTGCAGCACTGGGTGAAATATAAACGTGTGTGTCTGGGAGGGAGAGGGAGAGAAGAACTGCCTGGGGAGATGAGAAAGGCTGAAATGAGTCACTCCTCGTCTTTTTGTCTAATTTGGTAGATAATACAGGGTGTGATGCTTCACTGCCTCCTCGCTGAGCCAGTTCCAGTGCAGTCAATGAAAGGATCCAGCTGGATCCAGCCCTTATATGGTGCAGAATGAGGCCGGGAGCAGCTCGGGATTGGCCTTGGGAAGAGGGCACAGGGAGTGCTGGCTGCAGGCGCCTCAGCCTTGCGTGGAGCCCAGAGCTGGGATGCTTTTCTGTTGGGAAAAGGTTTAGGAGCGTGACACAAGGTCAAACTTGAAGGTGTTCCACTCAAAGTGGTGTTATGAAGTGGCTTTTGACACTTAATATAAAGTTAAGCCCGGGCTCGGTGCAGTGTCAGCAGCAGGGGATCACAGACCGGCTGAAGACACGAATCCCAGCGGGGGCTGCAGTGGGAGCACAGGATGAGTCACCTGGGAGAGGACAAGGATGCCAAGGAAGGGGGGTCACGAGGGCGATGTTGGGCACTCCCTGAGCAGGGCTTGGCTCCGTCAGTGGGGCTTGGCTTCTCTTTAAGTGGGGTTTTGCTCCCCAAGTGGAATTTGGCTCCCTGAGCCTGGCTTGGCTCCCTGAGCCTGTCTTGCTCCCCAAGTGGGACTTGGCTCCCTGAGCCGGGCTTTGCTCCTTGAGCCCGGCTTTGCTCATTGAGCTTGGTGTTGCTCTCCAAGCCTGGATTTGCTCCCCAAGCCTGGCTTTTCTCCCTGAGCCAGGCTCTGCTCCTTGCACTCAGCTCCGGTTTCCAAGCCTGGCTTTATTCTTTGAGTCCAGCTTTGGTCTCTGAGCCTGGCTTTGCTCCTTGAGCCCAGCTCTACTCTCCGAGGTCGGCTCTGCTCCCTGAGCCCGGCTCTGCTGTTTGAGCCCGGCTTTGCTCCCTGAGCCCGGCTCTGCTGTTTGAGCCCGGCTCTGCTGTTTGAGCCCGGCTTTGCTGTTTGAGCCCGGCTCTGCTGTTTGAGCCCGGCTCTGCTGTTTGAGCCCGGCTCTGCTGTTTGAGCCCGGCTCTGCTGTTTGAGCCCGGCTCTGCTGTTTGAGCCCGGCTCTGCTGTTTGAGCCCGGCTCTGGTTCCCGCTCAGCGGAGTGTGGCGAGGGGCTCCGGGAGCCCGCCAGGGGGCGCCGCAGGGCAGAGGCGCGGGCCGGGGCGGGGCTGGGGGCGGGGCCTGTGGCGATGGGCGTGCCCGGAGATCAATGGGCGTGGTCTGTTCCGGGGGCGGGGCCGCGCTCGCCGCGCAGATCCCGCCGGTCCCGCAGGAGCCGCGCAGCGCCCGCAGCCCCGGGGCCACCGCGGCCCCGACCCCGCCAACCCGGCAAGATGTGGCGGCGCTGGGAAGCGGGATGGGACGAGAAGAGGGAGCTGCAGGAGCTCAACTCCCGGCTGCGGGTGTTCGTGACCCGCGTGCGGGAGCTGGAGGAGGAGAACCGCTTTCTGGCGCGGGAGCTGGCGGAGCTGCGCGAGCAGGAGCTGATCGGGCTGCGGGTGCCCGAGCAGGAGCTCGCCTGGCTGCGGATGCAGCTGGAGGAGCTGAGCCGGGCGAAGCTGGAGGCGGAGCTGGAGCGGGACGGGCTGCGGCGGGAGCTGGAGGAGCTGCGGGCGCTGGGCGCGGAGGTGCTGGGCATGCGGCGGCGCCTGGAGCCCGAGCTGGCCGGGCAGCGGGCGCTGCTGGAGCGGCTGCGGGGCGAGTGCGTGGCCCTGGAGGAGCTGCTGCTGGAGCTGCAGGCCGAGCACGGGCACATGGCGGAGCGGCAGCGGCGGGAGGCGGTGGAGATACGGGAGCTGCGGCTGAACCTGGCGGCCCTGCCGCCGCCCTTGGCCGGGCTGAGCCTGGAGGAGCTGGAGGAGACCTACGAGATGCTGCTCGGCCAGTGCTGCCAGGAGACTCTGCTGCGCTACCAGGAGCAGATCCAGATGCTGCAGGAGCAGGAGGCGCAGCGGAGCCGGGAGGACGTGGAGCTGCTGCGGGAGGAGAGCCGGCAGTGCCGGCAGCACCTGGAGGATCTGCACCGCCAGGGCCAGGAGCTGTGCGCGCTCCGGGAGCGGCTGGAGCAGGAGATGCTGGCCCTGCAGGACCGCCACGGCGCCGAGGTGGAAGAGTACCAGGTGGGTGGCGGTGCCCGGGCGATGTCCCCCGGTCCCGGGCCTCTCCCGCTTCCTTCCCGCCCTCCCGGTGCCTGCTTTAGGGCTCCCCCGAGACTCTTTCCGCCCTCGCTTTTCCCTTCGGTTTTGGCCCATCCTGCGATGTGAGCCCGGTTTCCCACGGCCCTGGCACTGCCTCCCATCCCTCCCGCTCCCTCTGCTCCGGGAGGTGCCAGACCCCTCTGACTCAGGGTGGTCCAGGGCTTACCCACCCCGCTGGGGTGCGAAGGGTGGGGGCCAGAAGGGGACAGTGACCCCGAGGACATCGTCTTGGTGACAGGTGCTGCCTTCCCAACCCGCCCTCGGCAAGTGCCCAAGATCGTGGAGCTGGCACACGGGGCTTGCCAGGGCTCCTGCTGGGCTTGGCATGAGCACATGGGACACGGAGCAGTCCCTGGGAGCAGATGGACCGAGTCCCTGTGCGGTGGGACAGGGCTCATCCCATCCAGCCTGGGGCTTGAGGGTGGCCTGTCCCAGTCAGAGAAATGATCTGAGTTTTCTTCCCGTTTTACACACATTCCTGTGTGCCTTGAGCCTCGGGGAGAACTTGTGCTCCCCAGACTAGTTAAGAAAACTTAGTTGTTTAAAGGCAGGAAGACTGTGCTGAGGGCACTGAGCAGTGAGAATCGTTTCGAAATAAAACTTGAAGGACACAGGTACCTGTTTGAGATGTTGGTGTGCTTAAACGGCATCTGTAGCCCAGGATTTGTTTGCTCTCAGGGTGACATTTGGTGTGATGATGTGCGTGGGAAGGGATCAGCAACTGCCGGAACAGTGAAATATCCGCTCATCAAACTCCGAGTGGAGAGCACACATTGGATCATGCAGCCCATCGATCCCTTTCCCGAGGGCTACACTTCTTTTGTTCATTGTTAGACCCTTTATTAACACCCTGCTGTTTGCCTGGACCCCGTGTGCCAACGGGTCCTTTGTGTCCAGCAGCCCCAGTAGATTATGGATGTGTTGGCAACTGGGAAGGGACTGGGACCTGTTGCTGTGAGCGTGTCTGGTTTTTGTACTCTGCTGGATTGTTTGCAAGTTGCATAGTTTGCAGATGCTGTGAACTGAGACAGATTAGGTATGTAAGAAGTAATCACAAAGGCTCTTAACTTTTAAATGGATTTTTTTTCCATTTTTGACAGGACAGTTCATTCCTCCAATCCTGTATGTAAACATTTCCAAAGCTTTAGGAGAAGGTGTCATATGTAAATCTCTCATTAATTAAATCCAGGTGAAAATTAAAGCCAGGTGAAAATGCCAGGAAGAAAAAAACCTCTTCATAAGCCAATAATATTTAAAGTTTCTTTGATTTCCAAAATGCAGCCTTCTTGCTACCTATATTTGATATTAGGGAATTATAATGAAAGTGTCATTGATCTTCAGTCATTATTGCTCCAACTGAAAACCTTTGAATAGGGAATAAAGAGAGCATTTTGTACAGCTCACTAGCCATGCTACAAGTGTTTCTTCTAAAGCCAGTTAGAATGGCTTGTATTTAACTCTTTCAGGTGTTTTTATAGCAGTTGTGTCTGTATCTTCAAAGAATTTTTAAGGAATGTCTGTATTTTTAAAAAAATTTATTCAGAAAAGCAAGTAGTGCAACCTGTTGTAGAAGTCAGATAATCAAAATCAGTGTATGCCCTTGAATTGTCCTGATTCAGTGCTCCAAAATGGATTATTTTGATACTAACATAACAAACTTCTCTTTTATTCTCACAAGTATCTGGTGTGCTTTGGATATTACAGGAGAAATTTCTTCAAATCTTTAGTAATACAAGAAGAACAAAAAAGTGCTTTGAAAACATGAAAATGTGTGAGCTGTCTTACTATTGCCACCAGAAATTAATTATTATCTAGATATATATTCAAAAATGCCACGAGGTTTATTTCTTTTGAGTGGTTTTATATTTAAAATGTTCAGTTTCTAATGAGAAAGGCCCTTTTCAGTGGCCAGTCTCCTGTTCATGAGAAATAAAACGTGCTCACATCCAAGAAGAAAAATTACAGAATGTGTACAGGCAGCTGTTTCTGGTTTTGTTTTTGTGATCAAAGCCTTTTTCCCCTCACTCATTTCTTTTACTGGCTAAAGTATGTTCAGCATGGCTTTTAAACTACTCTTTAAAGAGCATCTATTCCATGCTTATTTATTGTAGTGTCACATAGAAATGATATGTATGTGCAGATTACAGTCAAGTGATTGTTCTTCATTGCAGCTGCAATGGCAATTAGATTTATTAATATTTTCCATATATCATTTGGTTGCCTTATATGTCCATCTTTGCCTCCTGCACTGCTCTTACCCTCACTGGAGCTTTCAGCAATGTTAAATAGAAATAAGTATTTGGAGTTATAATTTAGCTGAACCAGGCAAGCTGTAAATCATGCACTGGAAAATGTTCACTCGTCCTGAGCGCTGAAGGGATGAACTCAGTAGATCTCCTACTTCCATAATTTTAACTGTGTGCTGTGAGAAAACTTCTGCAAAAGCTCCTGGTGATTTGAAACCCTTGTACTTTTGGGATGTAAAAACATCCATGGCTCATCCTGCTGCTTTGAAACGAGGCAGGTATTTTTCAGTGGTACGCCGGGTTTAGGTCGGTTCCTGTGCCGGTGTTGTGAGCTCCAGAGAAGAAGAAAAACATCTTGTCAAACAAACATTTAATGTCAACATGTCAAGTGCATTTTTCTGCGCACCAGTTTCTTGCCAGCCAAGTGCAGTGTTGGTCCCTCCCCTGCTGAGCCACTGAATGAGCTCTGGGATCAGTAAGTAGGACCAGATGGAAAGGGCTGCAGCCTGGAATCCTCTCCTGATTCCCTCCTCTCCTGATTCCCTCAGTAGGTACAGCTTGGACAACCCAAGTAAATTCTTTCCCCCCTACTGCCCTTCTAAAATTTCCCACTGCTGCCTGGAAAGGAACATCTGAAGGGTGAGAAAATAGTTTCTATCCCATTATTTAGTTCTAGCAGGACATCACTGGGGTCTGGGGGGCTGGGACTGATGGGGCTGAGGAACAGATCTTTCCAAGGGAGTCCTGTGGGAAGCCAATGCTGCTGCCACAGCACAGGTTACCTTTTGCAAAATGAGTCTGTTGGATTGCAGCCTCCTGAGCTTTGCCAAAGTGGTTAATGTACCTTCTGGCACGCTTGGAAACAGGACTGGAGACCAGTTGTCCTCTGCTTTGTGTTTAAGCATCAGTGACTGGAGGGCTGGCTGACTGGCTGTCTGCCTTCCAGTCTATACAGCGTCTGCTCCTGGTGGACTGAATTCCTTTGGAAGTACTGCACAGCTGGCTGAGTTATGTAGCCCCTTATGGTAATCATTAACACAAAGTTCTGGATCCCCAGTGCTCTCCAAATCCAGTGAGTAGAATCTAAGTGGCTTTTCCAACCCTGCCTACAGACTATATAGGGCTGAGGGGCTCCTGTGTTTTCAGATAGGTTTGAACATCCCCAAAATTTCAGAGCTCCCCACACTCTGCAGTCCAGCATACAGATTTCCTGTATGAATTTTTCTGGGACTGCAGCATTGTGAAGTTCTTTTTAACATATGCATGCATATGTGTAGGTTAATCTCTGTGTTTAATCTGGGAGGCAAGAAACACCTGGATCACTTAATTTTTGTATCAGAGCTCTTAAGTGTTGGTCCTACAGAGACCCAGTCTGTTGTCTTTGCTCCTTTTGCTGACTCCTGGTTCTGTCAGCACCTTGTCCATTGTTGCTTCATAGCCTTTTCCTTTCAAAAGCAGGGCCTGGTTCTTTCCTTCCCTTCTCACCTTGGGATTTTCCATTGTGTCAGTTCTTGAACACGGTTGTTACCTCAGAGCTCTAAAGGTCAGTGGTTCTGCCTGCGTGGCTATGCAGGATGGTGCCTCCACTGGGGCTTTTTCAGACATGCAGACAGGATTTGTCTTCTGCCATAAAAAGGGAGGTTTGTTGTGTCAAGCAAAACATCAGTGAAATCATTTAACAACAGCTGCAAATACAAATGAAGAAATAGATTAATGTGTTATATAGAGAGCTGTACCCACATGTGTATGAAGATACAGGCAGCTTCCTTCATAGAGCTTTCCTTTTACTTAAAAAAAAAACCCCCAAAATACTATTGATGTTTGAGTGCCAGCACTTGATAGTCTTAATTCTTAGATCTCACTTCTGCCTTGCACATCATACTGGCATTAACTGATCTGGGGAGTCCCTGCTCTATCTTCATTTTTATGCTATTGCTTATACAGTGATACTTGAGCACTTGCTGCATATAAATTATATATTTTGAGGTTTTTTAAACTAGTCTATCGGTGCCTTGATTTTCCAGTTTGTATTGCAGAGCATTTATTAGGATGCCAACTGAAATATGCTGTTGTGAATCCCTGTTCAGTGTTGAACACGAGATTTTTGCTCTGTAAACGACATTTCAGTGTCCCTGAGTACTACAGAGTGATGTCAACAGAACACAACTGGGCCTCTGAGATTTAATGACTGTCCTTCTAGCCCCCAGAAGGAAGTGCCATCTATAGCATTTTAGTTAGCAGGATCATATTCAATATAAATACATATAAATGGCAATTTGCCCTTCATGTGAGAGGTAGCACTGCTGACTAAAGCACTTTCTACAATTTTTTTTCTTTCTTCTGCCATTTAGTATAAATAGATATAATTTTATATATTTAGTTGTATTGTACAGGGTCATGTTTAGTTATCAGGATGAAAATGAGCAATCCTTTCTCTGTCTTCTGAGTAGTAGCAGTTAAGACAGAGGTGAGTGGACCTCAAAGCACGTGTCCAAATACTCTAGAAAAATTTAAGGAACCACTGGAGGTTCATCCTTCACCTTCTGGTCTCTGTGAATGTCTCCAGATATTAGAATTCCAAAACTGGTTTGGACCCACATGTCTGTGCTTCTTATGGCAAAGCAGTTGCTGAAATTTCTGATCTGAAGTGTGGTCTTGAATAAGATCTTAGAGTGATAAAAGGAATCACATTTAAGTCACATTGATAGAGGAGCATATTCTCCTTGCTATGGATACTTAATAACTTTTGTACAGAGCATCTGAATGGGTTTTACTGAAATATTTAACTGCCTTATTAAGGCATAAAATTAACTTGTAGCATAAAGCTCTGCTTCAGTAGCAGTGTATTTCAGCTGGTATATGGGGAGGTTTAGAGATTATTTGCTCTGGTTTTTGAAGGGATAGAACATTTTATTGCTCTCTCAGTTTACACTTTTTTTTAATTAAAAGTTTTAAGTTATTAGGCATTGAAGTGTACAGATTTCTACGTTAATTCAAAACTAAAAATCAGCATTTCTGTTTAGAGAATAATTGACGCCCTGGAAGAAGAAAAGCAGTTCCTGACCATGTCAATCACGGATTACCTGAAGGACTACCAAGAACTACTGCAGGTGAAAGCAGGACTCATCCTGGAAATTGAAACCTACAGGTAAGAGTTGTGGTCACACTCTGTTGTCTAATTGAAGGATAATTTAAATCACTTTTTACAGAGACGGGAACCCCATCCATGCTCTTCCCAGCCTTTGCAATACAGGCAGGTACTTGGAGAGCCTCAGGACTCCAAAGCCAATATAATCCATATGAATCCTGTTAACTTTGTACAAATATAGTGATGTGTAAGAAACCTTCGTAGTCCTGGTCAGGTGGATATCAAATTGATGGGAATTGTTGGTGCTAGGGTTGATTACAAGCTGAGGAGCCAATATCCCTAAATTGCAATCAATAAAACCTGAGGTCCTGTAGTTGCCATCTGTCAACTACCAGGCACGTTTCATTGCTTAAATATGTTGATTAGTGGCCACCTGCAGCAGTGGGTGCAGGTTATCTTCCCATTCTCACTGGGAAGATAACAGAAAAGTCTGTTTATTAAATCCTGGCTTTCTCCATCCTTGATTTGTTATGGAAACATGTCGGGATCAAGTGTGAGATAACAGCAAACAGCATCTCAGCTGATGAATCTTTAGCACTGTGTATCCCTCTGGCCACTTAGTAGCTGTGGGGTTGAAAAACCAGAGTAATTCTCCTCTCTGGGGAGTTGTGATGTATCAGTTGGCACATGGCATAAAACTGATTTGGAAAGAAAAAAATCCCAAACAACCCAAAACTGATGAACTGGAGAAAGATACTTCCTTATTGCAAAGATCATGTGGGTTTTTTTCTTCAACTAGCACAATATTTTCAACAAATTTCATTGAGCTACTGATCCTCAAATGCAGAGATGTGCAATTCTTATTGAGCCAAGGAATAATTTGCAAACATTTCATGTCAGACTGCTTCTGTGTTTTTTAAGGAGACTGCCTCAGTCATTAGCTTGTCTACATTGGGTGCATTATTCATATTGAACCTGCATGGACAGGGGTATTTGTGGTTATATATGATATATGCTTCTGTGTCCTAAGGCATTAATGCTGTGTTCTGAGTGTGCAAGGTTCCAGTGAACCAATAATAACCACTAAGTCTGGATGAAGATGTCACCAGCTGAGTTATGGGTGAGGTGTGTAGGCTAAAGCAATCCACCGATACGTATGAGATTTAATTGTAGTTGCATAAATAAACTATAAGAAATTTGAAACAGTAACTTCTGAGTATCCTGATAAAGATTAGTGAGCAAAGATGATCTGTCATTCATCCAAGAGCAGCAGTGTCTGTTCAAGAGGCCTTGAGAGTTGTCTGCCAGGAGACACAGCCCAAGGTTGGTTTCTGGATGAGGTGAGAGCACAAGCAGGCTGTGAGACAAGGGATTTGCAGTCACTTGGTGGGCAACAGTACCTGGATGTTTGTTGGTGGAGTGGGATCCCCGTGATCCTTGGAAAGCCAGGAGTGTCTGGAGCATTACTAGTAGAAGAGAAATGGTGGCCACTTGTGCTCCTTGATTAACTTTGCTAAAACATATGATTCTCTAACTTTAATCCCAGCTCTGTTGTTGACTTTTACTGTTGTTGTTAAACTTTCTCCCTCAGTTTATTCATCTGTGAAATGGGATTAGCACTGTCACAATAACAGAATTATCAGCGTGGTTTTGATGATTAGTGTTCATCCAGAACTAGGAATGATAATGCCCAGATATTCAGTTGTTTGAAATCCTTGTAAGCCCATGAAATTCTGGAACTTCTCCAGAGTTGTATCACTGATTATCTGAGCATTATTGGTTTGTTTAAGGATTCCCTGCCCTGGTTAATGACAGGACAATTCAGCATCACCTGCAGCATGTTTTTGTTGTCTGAATAAGAAGCTCCCATGGGGTTTCTTCATCTGATGGCAGTGAATGCAACTTGTATCACTGATGGCAAGGCAGATGTCAGCAGACAGATGAGCATCAACCTACTAAAAAATCTACAGAGGAAAACAGAGAATAGGCCTCGCTCCAGATCAGAAAACATGTTGTGTAATGCCTGCAGACAAAAGTCTTTTAACATATCAGAAGCTGAAAAGTGACTATTTTGTGTTTTTACATTTATGCAGTTTTACCTGTTCCTCTTTTCTGCTTATTCTCCCTTTGCTCAAGAAAACAATTCCTTCCTTACTGTATGACTTTCTCAGCCCTGCTGTGGGAGGGAATCACTAAGCTGTGCAGCAGAAGAATTCTGGACAGCTCATCCATGTACTTTTTCAAATCCTGTTCCTCTCCCAGGTCTTTTTACCTGTGAAGAACAGGGCATGTGAACCCAGCTTCAGTTTGTTCTCCCAGAGGATGCTGGCATATAACCTTCCTTATACATTCTGGAAACAAAGGGCACCTACTCACACTAGTTCAGCATCCTGAACTTTCCATGGAGGCCCTGGCATTTCCTCTCCTCCTGTGGCATTATAGGTTAAGGGTGTGGTACCTGGTCTTCTTGGAGCTTTCTTTGTACCTCCCACCCTGTGTTTTCTCTCTGTTTTACAACTCTTACAGTTAGTTCAGTTAAAAAGTCAGTTCTTTCCATTAGTCACCATTGCTCTTGGAGTGGGAATAAAGATCATTGTTGCAAGGAACACCCTTCCCTAAGGTCCAAGTGTGCTTCCTCTCTGACTCTGCTCACCCTTCCTGCTCTGGGAGCTGAGACTCAGTCAGGAAGTGAAATATGTCTCTTATGTGTCTTTGTAAAGTTACACCTTATGGGAATCTTCATTCCTAATCCCTTTTCACCACCGTTGAAGTAAATATTTATCAAGTGCCTTGCACTTTTGTTCTGAGTTCTTGGAACCCTGCAAAACCACAGCTACTTAGACTGTGCTTAAGTTTTATTTCCAGAGAGAAGAGGTGAATTAGTCACTGTCTAAGACTCTTGATTTTAAAAGGAGATAGAAAAATCTGCCTGCCATCAGAATTGCTCTCAGGTCTTTCTTTTTGGTTATCAGAAACTTCTCCTTTTCACATAGCAGGGGCTTCACAGAGACTCATTCAATAGGTTAAGTAGGTTTCCTGTCCTCCCTAAAATATGTTGTTGCTGAAGGGTAAAAGGTTTTACTTTGAAATCTTTGTGTCATACAAGTGTTCTGTTCTAGTTACCACCCTGCATTCTAAAGCACCAGAGGCTACACAAGTTTGGTTTTTCCATTTTATTTCTTTTTCCCTTTTTTTTTTTCCCCATGGTCATTGTCAGGACCCCTGAATACACTCGCCAGGCACACTTTCCAATCCTCCAGTTGTGTTTCTCCATCAGCACTTCTGACCCTTTCCATGCCTTCTTCTCACAAAATCAGCACCAGCATTAAGGCCTCCTCAGCTCCTCACCACAGCTTTTGCACTCAGTTTCATTATTTCCTCTTCATAACTTGTGCCATCCAATATGTCCTGTTCCTGTACTGGTTTTATTTTTAGAACACCCTGAGTTTTCTGCACCCAGGGAATTTAAAATGCAATTACCTGCTGTTCTTCACTCCTTGACCTCCCATTCCGTGATGGAAAAAAAAAATGTGGAGTGGCCTTGACCCCTAAAAATGCTTCTTCCATTCCACTTCCTGGAGAGATGTTTTTTTTGTAACTCCTTTGCAAATACCCAGGATGGAGAGGATGAATTTTTACAGCCTGCTAGCCAATTGCTGCCATCTGAGCTTTTGGGTTTCTGTAGTTGAAACGAAGTCATTGCTGTTGGGAATAACCATGATAACATTTGTGCTGCATCCTTTTGTTTTTTTAAGTTCTCTTTCCTCACCCCAACCAGTTTATCTCCTCCTCCTGCTTTCAGGGACTGGTTATTTCTGTTGTCATCCAGCACAGGCTGACGAGTGTGTCACTGCTAACTTTAGATAAATGACATTAATAATGAGATGAGTTAAAGGTGCAGTTGGATTATTTACTGGTAACACTTAAACTGTTAACACAGTTGGGATCTGATTTCCAGGAAGTAGCTGACAAGGTTATTTTTTAGAAGAGTGCTGCTTGAAGGAATGCTTTTTTTGCTGTTACTGTGAGTACTTAAGAGTTCATACAGTTGACATTAACACTCTGTTCTTCAGGCAGTTTAAATCGAATTTAAAAGCAGACCTCACCACCAAGAGGTTAGAGTTTAAATCATTAGTATTAGCAAAGGATACAAAGGAACAGAGAAGCAAAATGACTTGCATTAACTCAAGTTATGGTCAAGCTGAGAAACGTAGCCTGAGTTTTCTGACTGCCAAGCCAGTGCTCAGTACATTCCACTGCCCTTTCTCACTCCAGTTTATTGAGCCAAACTCAGTGTAACATTTTCTTGGATTTCTGATAAGCTTGAGAACTGTGCACAGTAAACCCCTGACTCCCTGTCCAGCCTCACAGAGCTTTCAGGGAGCTTTGCCTTTCACTTTGAGTAGCAGTATTTCAGATGCAGCTTTTCGGTGGGCTGTTGCCTTTTGCCATATACAGTTACCTTTTGGAACTTATTTTTAGTGACTTCATACTGTTGCTGCAGCAACTGAACAACTGTTGCTTTAACCAGCAGCCAGAAATCCGTAGCCAAACTACCCACATTCCCGGTTTCCTTCGTCATGGTTAACACTTCCACTGCCAGCTCCTGGATGTGTTTCTGCAGCGTCACCAGCAGCTCCTCTGGTGTGTCTGTCAGAGTGATTTGTTTGGCACTCACTGGATTCAGCAGATCAGATGTTTGGTCTTGGGAACTTTATACGTTTTGAGGTCATCTAGTTCCTGAAAGCCTCTCTTAATGTAGAAGAAGATAAATTGCTTTTACTGGGTTTTTTTTTCTGACTAATGAAACAGAAGGAAAGGTGCCCGGCCAAGCCTGTTTTAAAGGGGAGGTGACCTGTAAATACGTCAAGATAATTCCAACCTGACTTTTCTTCTGAATCCAAACAAATCCATGACGGCAGAGAAAACCTTGCTGATGATATTTTGCTGATGTAGCACTGTCCCACTGAATCCTGAGGCAGTGAGAAACCAAAAGAAGCATAAAATTAGCAAAGTGATGAGTCATGGGAAGCGTGAAATGTGCAGGTGATGTTTAAAACACCTGCTTTAATTCTGCCAGGAATGCCCAGCAGTTGTGTTTATACCCTAATCCTAAACTGCTTCCAGCTCTCCCCCTGGGAGTCAGAAGCCTGGGCTATCACAGGCCTCCAGCCTCACTCTTGCCAGCTCTGATGTTGCAGCTGTGTGTTATCAGTGCAGAACATCTGGCAGTCCCAAAACTGGCTATGATGAAATGGGGAACTCGCCAATACAAGTGAACACAAACCCAGCAAAGTTACTGTACTGACTGTAAAACTCCCTTGCATGTGCAGAGAACCTGACCCAGAATTTCTAGGCTGTTGCACCAGTGCTGCCTTCCTGGGATTACAGAAGCTGTTGGAGTGTCACTGTGAAAAAGGAGGAGGGCTGAGGAACCGAGGGGACAGACAGAGATGTCACTAAGGGAAACCAAGAAGCTTCTGTCACAGAGAATTTTTTTAGGCCTTTGTTGTCAAATGTATTGTGCTGATTTCCTATGGAACAGGAATTAATTTAATGCTGTCAGGTGTTTCCTCCAGCACTAGACAGGGTTTGACAGTAGAAGTAATGCTTTCCTTCACTTTTCATTTGGAAAGGGTAGAACTTGCAAGTCCTGGCTGTAACAATTCCCTCACATCACCACCTTCACCACTCTTATGAGCAGGAAGGCTGCAGACTATCTGCTTGCAAATATTTTATTTAATTTTTGCCTTTTCTTTATAAAACATCTTACCCAGAAAAACTGTGGCTGCCCCATCCCTGGAAGTGTTCCAGGCCGGGTTGGACGGGGCTTGGAGCGACCTGGGCTAGTGGAAGGTGTCCCTGCCCATGGCAGGGGGTTGAAACAGGATAATTTGAAGGTCCCTCCCAACCCAAACGATCCTGTGATTCCATGATCTCCATGTGTGTCTCTGAGGAGGCTTTACTGAATATTTGTCAGATTTCGTGTGGCTTTGTTATAAGACCGTCATTCTGGAAAAAGTTACCAGCTCGTTTGGTCCCATGGTGGAAATCAGTGGATCTTGTTCATGTCAGGAAGAAAAACTTCGGCTGATGTGGAAGATTTGATGTAAAATTGCCCTGTGTCTGCTGTTGTCACCTGCTGTAGGATTATTGCTCCGCTCTCAGGAACTGAACTCTGCAAACTAAGAGTCTGGAAGATGCCAAGGATTTCTCATTCCCAGTAATAAAAACATGGGATGTGAAAAACACTTAAAATCTGACCCAACTGCAGGATAATTGTTCCAGTTTCTAAGACTAATAAATGTTAAATATTATGCTTATCCTTCCCAGTATTTTAATGGAATGCCTTTTTGTGTTTTTTGCAGAGCTTTGTTAGAAGGGGAGAGCAACCAGTGGATTATTACATGGAGAGAACAGCTTGCAGGGAAATTGCCTCAAGGTAAGATATAAATATTAAAAAAAATTAATTTTGAATGAAATTAAATATAACTGGAAATGATTGTTATGGTGTTCCTGAAGAATACTTTTATGAGTGTATTGCAGAGTGAAGATTGGATTAGTTTTGAGTGTTAATATTTTAAATGAACATACTGCTGTCCTATATGAGATCATTTATAAAAATCATGACTTGAGTGGAGAAAGTAAGTAGGGAGTGATGTTTTGTAGCTCTAAAGAACTTTTGGATGCCCAGAGGTCTTAAGAGAGTTTTGAAGTATAAAGCAAGAGGTGTTTAACAAAACGTGTAGTTAAAACCCTGGAATTCATCATCCTGAAGCATTTTGAGTGTTAAAAAGTGGGTTTACAGAGATATTTTAGCAGAGTAATGAAAGACAAATCAAAGACTTACTAAACATAAAGATACCATTTCTATCTTAGGAGCTGCAAATCTCTGGAGGCTGTGAGAGTATGCAAGGGAAGTATCACTATTTACTTGCCCTGTTCTTATCCTCTTCCCTGTGTATCTGCTCTTGGTCACTGTGAACAGGATTCTGGATAAGATGGACCTTCAATCTGACTGCTCTGGCTGTTGTTATTAGTAACAAAGTTAGTCTCTATAACACTCCTGGTCCTAAAATCATCAGAGTAGCATAGACACTACTCCTCGAAGTGATTTTAAGGCTGTGTCTTTAGTGGTAAATTAAAAAAACCTCGGGCCCAGGTACAAATGCTCACACAGATTTGCCTGTGCTGTTACATTATAAGCAGGGTTTGTCCTGGCACAGTTTGGATCTGAACTAGCCAGTACTTCTGCAGACAGTGCTCGAGCGTATTCACAGAATATGGAAGGAATTACAGGAATAATTACCAGAAATTATACAGGAAAGGCTACCAAAAGTCAGAGGAGATGTGGCCTGCTTTTTAGGAGTAGGGGATGTGAGTGGTGCAGTCCTGGTTGGTCTTAGTCAGACATTCCTGGTACATTTTAGGTTTTAGGTTCTTTATTTCTCTCCCATGTTGTATCTTGTGGGTGTGAAGGGTTGTGTTTGTGTTTGCAGTTTCCAGTGTGTGGTGGCAGATGTGCCATTAATTCTCAACAGGAACTGAGAAACTCCAGGCCATTTATACTAGTGAAGCAAAAAACCCAGCCTAGGATATCAGCATACATTATTTAATAAGAAACTGGAAGTGAACATCAGTATAGATATGAAAGGTGTGATTCTTAAGTAAATGGCACAATACCCAGTAGTTCACAACAGGTAAACTTAGCAAGATCGTGCAAGTTAGCAAAAAGCTTTGCTTTCTTTTTAATGTAATTTATGCGTAAACTTAATTATCATGAAAACCTACAGGCATGCCTTTACAAAGCTCCACGGAAAATGAAGACACTGTTTCTTTCAAAAATTGTAGTACAAATTTCCTTAATTCATGCCCTCTATTTGACATTATTTTAGATCCAAGCCATTCTTTTAATGTTTGGTCACCTGTGCTCTTTTTTTTGCAGATATTATAAACACTTCATATAACTACACTGATATTTACTCTACTTATCAAGAGAGAAATAGAAATAAAGCTTCACCAGCTCCCAGGATCACTGACACGAGGCACAGAATGGCAGTGACAGACACGAGCAGCTCTGCACGTTACTCCACCCGCGTCGGATCACAGACAAGTACCAGTGGAAGAACTTTTGGAAGAGATGTACTTGGTTCAACATATCGCCCTTCAACAACTGCTACAAAGGATGAAAGGATTATAACAGACCACAAAGAATTAAGAACATTTACTCCATCCTACAGTAGCTGGAAAAAGACTGAAACGCAGCAAAAGACAATTCCGGAGAGAAAGAGAACAGAGGTTACAACTTCTTCCACGGTGTCTTTTTCAAAAGAATCAACACATGCTGAAAGATCAGACAAGGACCACAAGACCGATGCTGAAAATACAAGAACAAAACCAGGCTTCACTAGATTTCCAGCTTATGAGCTGATTACTGATGCAAAACCATCTAAATATGAGGAAACTATAACTGAAACTCGGACCATATTCAGAGATAAAAGAGGAGGCAGCAAAGCGACTGAAGAGAAAGCACCTCTGCCGAAAGAAAAAGATAAACTGGAGAAACAAACAAAGGATGAGAAAAAGAAAACAGATGAGAAATCTTTTATGGAAGAAAGTGCTGGTTTTGGAAGGAAGACCGAGCAGAAAACATACATCCGTGAGGAAGTTAGCCAGAAGGTATCAGGGAGTGATATTTCTAATGCAAGAAGTTTGAGAAGTGAATCAACCAAAAAAGATACAAGTGTGACCTCAGAATCAAGAAGCAACGACGTCATTGAGATACCAATCACCCTTGAAAGGCCTGCTCCTGACAGAGGATCTCAGAGACATAAAGATATAAGGGTACATGGTGTTAAAACTTCCACAGGAAGAGAAGCAGATGACCATGTAATTGAGTCATTTGAAGCTCACCAAGTGAGGATTTCAGAGGCAGAGTCCAGTCTGGAAGGTGAAGAGCGAATTCGTGATGGAAGTCACAAAATGGGAACTCTGCCAACTGAAAATATAGCAGAGAATATTGTTGCCGACATCCTTAAAAGTTTCACGCACTCTTCTAGTTCACAGATGTCAACAGACACCAAAGTGACCTATTTTAATAAGGAAGAACAATCAGACGATGGGAAAATAAAGACCGAGATCACAGTGCAATCCCAAGTTCAGGAAGACATAGATATTTCTGATGAAGGTAACTTGGGACGTCTGTCAAACCAGGACGTTAGAAAAGTGATTCGAGAGGGTGTTGAGGGAACTCCTTCCAAAGAGGAGATAGAGGACATTGTACATCACGGCCTGAAGGGAAGCGAGGGGGGAAAGAACGTGTCTGTTAACGTTGAGATTGTAGAGGAGCCACTGGATTATGCCACTGATGAAAGGAGTGATTTTTCAACACCTTTTGAAGTAGAAGAAGTGGAGGATTCGTTCCCTGAGCGAGAGAGGCGTTACGGTGAAGAGGAACAGAACGTCACGTTCACTTATGAAGATGTCAAAAAGAAGAAACCACGCCATGAGAGTTTCACTCATGTGGAAGAAGTAACTGAGGAAGACGACTCGCCTATTGAACAAAAATATTTTGTGTCTGTTCCTGATGATCATCCTGTTATTAGTGAAAAGGATGATGACTCAGTATATGGGCAAATTCATATTGAGGAAGAATCAACTATCAAATATTCGTGGCAAGATGAATTTTTGCAAGGCACACAGAGTAAGAGAGAGGAAGGTGTGAGCTCTCCAGAGGAAACCTATAAAGTGGTAGGGGAGGAAGCAAGTGCCCATATTTTAAAAGAGCATCCTGAAGGTGAAACATCCCATGTTGAATCCGTTGTTATTGAAAAAGAAATTAAAATTCCCCCTGAATTTCAGACTTCCATAAAAGGGCTCTTATCCAAGGAAACGAAGGACCCTAAACATCAACTGAAGGAAGCTCTGGAGCAGTTGGAGGGCAGTCTCCCAGACAGTGTGAAAGAGGAGCTGTTTGCATTAACAAAAGAGAACCAAGTTGATGCTAGTAACTTAGAATTTGATATCAAAAAAGTTGATCAAAAGGAGGAGGGTGGCTCGGTGACAATTGTTGCTGAAGTCAATCTGTCCCAGACCCTCAGTACTGATGAATTTGATGAATCTCAGCTCGGTGAAGTAATTAAAAGCGAGAAGGAGAAGGCGACAATTCACTCCCTGAAAAGAGAGAGCTCAGAGGGAGTTGTTGATGGTAGAAGCGACATAGAAGTAGATGCTTCTTCTCCCACTGATAAATACACTCCTTTGGCTGATCAAGAAATCTATAACTTCTCCACGACGAGGCGCAGTGGTGGCACAGGGTATCATACCACGGAAAGAGTGATTTACGACGGTTCGGTTTTGGAAACAGCAGATTATGGAGAAGTCTCTCACTCACCACAATCAACTGATGAGACCACATCCACCAGGCGTGTCAGGGTTGGCCCAGCAGAAGTTCAGAGGTTCGAGCAGGTCATATACGAAGGGCCCGGTTCGGAAACGCTGGAGCTCAGCGCTGCGGAAGGTCTCGTTCAGACAGAGGGGTCGTCACAATTCAGCCAATCTGTGAAGCATTTTAAACTGGGCCCTAAGGAAATCCAAACCACAGAGCAGGTGGTTTATTCAGGCCCTTTTACTACAACGACCATAGAAGAGATTGATTCTGGAAATCTTTCCCAGAACTTCTCAACGGACTTCAACAGGTCCACGAGACGTGTCACAGTAGGATCAAGGCAAATAACTGAAGAAGTCTCTTTTGAAGGGTCTCTCTCGGACTCTCTGGCACTCAATAGCTCAGAGGACCTATCCCAGGCAGAAGGGTCTGGGGGTGTCAGCAGTACAATAAGGCACTTCAGGTTAGGCCCAAGAGAAGTTCGTACCGAGCAAGTGATCTTTGAAGGGCCCATCTCCGGTAAGGTGGAGGTCAGCGGCACCAGGGACTTCTCACAGACAGAGAGTTCAGTCAGACACGTTCAGTTGGGTCCCCAAGAGTTTATGACAGCTGAGAAGATCATCTACCACGGGCCTGGCTCTGAGCACACCGAAATCAGTGAACTGGAAGACCACACCCTTTCAGGAGGCTCGAGGTCTTTCCGGCACGTTAAAATAAGTCCCGTAGAAACTCATGCTGAGCAAATAGTCTTTACAAGACCCGTTTCTGGAATGCTGGAAGATCTTTCACAAACAGAAGGGTCATCTGAGAGCAACAAGTCTGTAAAGCATATTAAAGTAGGATCCAAGGAAGCATCTTACACTTTTCAAATGGATGTTTCCAGTATGGGTGGAATATCTACGGTGAGAAGTGGAGAACAAGCAGTGCTGATATCCAACCAGCAAGACCCTGCTGTGAGTCAGTCACAGGTCATAGTTCAAAGTGACCAGACTTCAGAAAATGAAAACACAAGAAGTGGCTACGTTCTGTCCAGTTATTCCCAAGATCATGGTGAAAAGGTGGTGGAACAGTCACTTTTTGATAAAACTGTGCAGTTGCAAAGAACGGTCGACCAAAGGTCGGATATTTCTGAAGAAAAGAAAGTCGCTTTTCTGTATCTGGACCATGAGGAGGAGGAAGATGATGATAATGATGGACAGTGGTTCTGAAAGGACTCTTTAATGAAGCATACTTAGCAATTTGTTTATATATATTTTTTATTATCCTTTTTTTTTTAAAGAGAAAAAAAGGGATGGGGAAACAGTCGAGCTATTAGATTATTAATAGTGGACTGAGAAGTATTGAATCTAAGCCTCTATTCAGCACACTATTTTATTGGAAATTTTATTTTTGGGAGAGATCATGCTATTAATATTTTTTTTTCCTCAGAGATCTATGTCTAATATTTTCAGATTTTTCCACCCATAGAAAGAGCAATTTGCTACTGGGGAATTGAAAGGATTCTATTTTTTTTTGTTTGTTTTATAGCACATCAGTTATTAAGTGTGTGCTCGAATAGGACTTTTCAAATTATTTTTTTTCTTAATACTGTATTGTACTTGGTTACTAAAATATTACTATGCAATTCTATTTAAAGCTCGAGCTACTAACCACAAATTTAACAGAATGTGAGACTAATAAGAGTGGTAGTAGCTGATTTTTCAGTTCCATTTCTGTGTACTTATATGCAATACCTAATGAATACATTTTAGGAGACAGTTATTACAGCTATAAAATTAAATCATGTCCTGTAGGATCAAACTAAGAATAGCAAGAATTGACAAAAGTGATATTATTTGTATAGCTGGAATGCAGTGCAGAAATGAAAGAGGGAACACTGAAGCAAGAGTTTCTCACAGTATTTCCTCATGAGAAATAGTGAATTTGATGGTTAGACGGTAGTACATTTAATATCTCTAAAAAGAAAACAACTTTAAAAAAACGACTGGATAGAATTCCCACTGAGGTAAGGAGAACTCCTTACAGACTCAGTGGCTGTGTACATTAGTAACCTCAACCTATTTTGCAGTATATGGGGTACCTTAATCCAAGGTATTGCTAAAGGTGAGTGTGAAGTGTCAAACGTGATGACACAGTGCCTAATTCCTTAACGCAGTGAAATGAGCTGATGCGTGTCCTGTTAGAAGGAAACTTGTACAAAAGGCATTGATGACACTTATGATCATTGTGTGTCAGCTCATTCCCAGATGATCCTTTCTTTGTTTACAAACGAGATGCCCTTTTCAACCCCTTGTCCTGCAAACCCCACTTGAGATTTGAGTTTATTTTTTTCTTCTTTTCTTTTCTGAATGTAACGTGTGCCTCAGGCCAAAGTTGCCTTCTACTTAAATCATTTGAAAATAAGCTAATTTCACTTGGATTGCACATTGGTTGAATGAAGGACATAATTTAACTCTGTAATTCAGTGACTTCAAAGTTCAGCTCAGAATCCAGCAGAGGCCCTGACCTGGGCAGTGCTGGCAGGAGCAAAAATAGCAGCCGGAATATTTTTGTCACTGGGGTAAGAAATGCCATACTGGACACATGTGAGAAGTAACATGCACAAATGAGAAGCTGCTATTTCTGCACACACACACACACACACACACACATACACAAACACACATTTCACTCCCTGTCCCCCACCTTCCCTGCAGAGCAGACACACACCTGGATCTGGGTGGCTTTGCTGTGCCAGCCCGCCGGGTGCTCACTCCAAGATTTTTTCCCCTGTGGTTATGTAAGCCTAGTTTTGTGTGTTCTGATCCATATTAGAATCCAGTTAAACTATCTTAGTCTGGCATGACTAGTCACTTTTCAGATGCCTTACTATTAAGAGAGCTACATTTTCCAAACCTGCCTGCTGCTTTCTATCTGAATGTAAATGCCAAGCTGAGGAGCAGCTCCGTGCTGACTGACGGGTCCTGCTGTTCCAGAGGTGGGACAGCTCAATCCCTGTGTGCCTTAGTAACTAACTTTGAAACTGTACAAATGTATTAATGTTCCAAAGATTAACTCACGAGGTTTGTCTGCACTGCAAAACCTTCTGAATGTTTTCCTCATCTTGTGTGAAATCATTTGTTGAAATTGGAAGTGCCACCAACGGCTGGAAAATGAATGGGAAACTGAATTGTGTAGAAGCACTAAAGTCATGTATCTAAGCTTATTTATACTGTTCACTGTGTAATAGGTAATATTTTTTTCAAAATGATTTGTTTGTGCTCAAAAAAGATCTTGTGCTTCCATTTATAAATAGGGTGTTACTGATTGTAGTACTTCTAGTCTCATCCTGTACTTCTGTTTCCTTAGTTGACCATATGATTTTAAAGATGGCAACATCTCTGTGCTTAATAATCATATCTAAGCCAGAATTTTCCAGCTAGATGCCTAACTGCAAGCAAGCAGGTTCTGTGCTTCAAGTATTAAATAACTACATAAAGGAAGAAGTCAGGTCTATAGTAAGCAACAGAGGTAAAAATAATCAGTGTTAGTTTTTTTGGAATTTTATTCTTGGCTTGAAATCTTTGAAATTCTCTATAGAGAATTTGAGAATTCTCTATAGAGAATTCTCTGTAAAATAGATATGAAAATATCTGCAGAAAACATATTTAGCAACCAACAAAAAGCTACTTATGCCAAAATCATTTATTGGTACGTTATGGAATATTTGACAGACGTAGTCCTTAGGAATAATAATACCAAAACTCTGTTTATCTTCACCTGCTCAGAGGACTGTAATGTCACGAATAAACCACTGAGGAGCAAGTGAATCATAAAATGTAGGTGGCCTTAGCATTGAGGGATAAAAAAAATTAATTTAAAAATCAGTATTGTTTCCACTGAGGCAACAACAGCTCTAGAAATTCCTTTGCACATCACTGTCAGATGCAGTAGGTTATACCAAGATATATTTCTATTCTGATTGTCTGGAGGGAAAAATTTGTTCAGTGTACTTTAGTTCTATTTCAGATCAGCATTTTAATCAGTTGTTGGAAAGCTGGTTTATTGTAGAGAACTGGAAATGTGCATTAGCAGGACATTAAACAGATATGCACAGTTCCTTTGCGTGGACGCTTTCCAGCTGTGAGAACAAAGTTGTCTCACTTAAAAAAGGGCTCAAGTTCTAAAAATGTTTTACAATAAGCAGCCCATTTTCCACTTAGCTCTCATTAACCTGAGACATTCTGGCATGATAACTTTTGGATAATTCTCCCTTCAGGCAACAAAAGGTATTTAAGTGATGAACAGTCACATCCTGCAGGCCCAGTGGTTGCATGTGCAGGGCAGGGGCTGTAGGTACACACGTTACTACAAGAGCAAATATAACCTGCTGTCTGGAGTACTAACTCACCCTACATGATCACTTTTGCCTAGGAATTCTGTCCTGTGGCTGAAGGGATGGGTGATACACCCTCAGTCAGCATGCACTTCTGAAGCTTCCTCCTATCAGTTATGCTTTTCATTAAACACAGATAAGAACTTCGCTGCGTTTGGATTAAACAAAATGCTTTTAAAACATAATTAGTAATTCGGGGGTGGTGTAAAAACTGTATGCTGGTATAGATCAGAGGTGGAGCACTGTCTTCCACAGTGTGTAAACCACTGGTCTAGAAAGCAAATAGAGCACGAAGAAGGATGTGTGAGGTACCAAGAGCTCTGTGCTGGCTGATGTTTGTGAACAGCAGGTGTTTCAGAAGACGGTCAGAATGTTGAACCTGGGTTTGTTGTTGTCAGCTGTGTGAAACTTTGCAGGCAGCTTGTGTTTTGGTCATTTTGCAATGAAACTGCGTTTTTTTTTGTGTGGTGGTACAAAGCTTTGTGATTTTACACTTTTTCACTCTTGAGTATTAAACAATCAAAATCAACGCAGATGTTTGGCTTTCTTCCTGTCTGATGTTTCTAAGGCTGCAATCTCAAAGAAAAAGGACTTAATGTCTATAAATATCTTGCTCAAAGGCCTCTCAGACTGATGAGTTCATTTTGGTTCAAAGAATGATTTTTTTATTCCAGCAAAGACATACCTTTTTCATGTTGGTAACAGAAATTATGGCAAAACATGGCACATTCTTTATTGCAACTACACCCAGCAGGGGTGGCCAGGCAGTGGTTCTTGAGTGCAACAAAAGGCAGTGGGAGAAGCAGAGTATAAAGCAGCAGAAGGTGGAATTCCTGGAGTTGTCAGCATCGTAGCTGTCCTTGGATCCTGGGATTTGACCAAGGTAAGACTCAACTTCTACCTTTTTTTAGCAAAGACAATCATTTTATGCACACTTAGACTGTTAATGGAAAAGGATATATAGATATAGATATATATTTAAATGGTACCTCTCTAGTGCTGTGAAGTTTATTTTTCTCTTTAACCCCGCTCTTTATTTATAAACAAGAAAATATGCCTTTAACCCAATTTCCTCTTAATTAAAGAAATGGGTCAGAATGAGTATTTTATGTGAAAGAGTGAGACTTTGTGAAGATATCCTCCATTTTTAATACACTGAGAAAAAAAACCCCACAATTTCTTGCAAAACAGGGAAAAAAAAGTATCCACAGCTACTGACTAAATCACAGCTTATTCTGAAGATGTTTAAATGATCAGCGAAATAGTTTCCACTGAAGCTGGCCTCTATCAGAAGAATATGTTTTCAGACTTCATCCACTAAGCAAAGGAGTATTTCTGTTACAACTCTCAGTGGTGAAAATCTGATTTCTCTGAAACGTGAAGGGTTTCTCTGAGCAGTAAGGAATGGACTCGCAGTGGGTTGGTGTTCAGTACACTGAGATTTCTTTCCAGTTTCCTGTTTTTCACACACTTGTCAGTTGTGATAACTTCCATAAGATGCAGCAAAAATACAGGGGTTTCTCAGTGTTGCATTCTAGAAAGGAGTGCTTAAAGTTAAATGGGAATAAAAGGTGTTTATTTGTACTCCGAATTTAAATAGTTTCAAAGTTGAAACTCTTTTCCTGATGTGTCTCTGCAACCAAATTTGAGTGAAATAACAAGCAGCCTGCCTAACAAACAAAAGGTTTTCTTCAGCAAGGAAAAACTCTGGTTTTTGGAAGATGTTATCTCTGGCTGTTGGGTTATCACAAACCACTAGTACTGGCTTTGATTTTCATTTCCAAATCCCAGTGTGAAGTAGGCGTGGCAGGAATTTACAACTGGAATCAAGCCTGCTTGTTAAACTACAGATTATTTTTCCAGGTGAGAAAGTGAAGAGATGCTGAACCCTAACAGTAGGTAGAATTTGCTTTATGTTTTACAAACGTGCCAGGAAAAGCAATACACTTCAGCCAAAATGTCTCTGACGAGCTGAAATTTCTACTTTCATTTATCCTGATGTGATTTGGGTCAGCAGCCAGACAGAGACTCCTGGTGGGTCGATGTTTTAGTGTGTTGGTCTGTCTGATTTGGTTTATGTTTTGTCAGCTTTTTTGGAGTGCTGAGACATGGGAGTTATAGGTTATTGTTTATTATCAGGCCAGTATTGTTTGCCATTTTAGTTTTGTGTTGCAGAGAGCCTGTGCCTGCAAGACACTGAGCTATGTCACACAACCTTATAAAAAGGCAAATTATCTTGTTATTTGGAAACTGCTGCTTTTGACTGGTTGATTTATTTTTTTTTTCCCTCTTAATTTTGGCTTTACTCAATGCCATCGTGCCATCCTGTGAAAACACCAAGTGCTGTATGACCCCCTCTGTCACTGTTGGCTGTGATCACTTCAGCAGTTACTGATTTTCTTCCTCTGGCTTAGGAATGACGTTGAAGGTGAACACACCCCCTTACTTTTCACTTGCTGCTTTGGTTAATCAAGGGGGGTGCTGGTGGCATGTAATCAAATTTCTTCAGGCACTGGCTGTTCAATCAGTGACACATCTGACATTTAGTGGAGGAAAAAGCCTGAAGAGTGAGTGTGCAATGTGAGCTGCTGCCCTGGGAACTTCCCAACAGTTTGACTCATCCTTCTTTTCCGTCAGGCGTTTGTGTGACTCTTGTGCTTAAATATCTCTGAGAAGTGCAGAGGAATATGGCTTCTAACAAGATGCAAAGAGATGCTCAGCCAAGATGAGATCTAATTAAAACCTCACTCTGAATATGTCAGTGGTTTCTTGAGTTGCCATCAGGCCTTTTTTTGTTGTGGATGCCAAGTGAGATTTGGCAGTGAAGGCAGTACAATGTATAATCCTGTGATATACATTTCTTAGACTCTCACTGGAGTAAACTGATAGAGAAAACTCAAATACATCTATTTTCCACTAGTACATATACAGATGTGATGAAAAATACTGTTACTCTGAGTAATACAGTTGGCCCTGGGACAGACTAATTAAGGATACAGTTAATTTCATTAAAGCTCTCCTAAAATCTTTGCCTCTGGAGCTGTGTGTTGTGGCAGGAGCATGATCAAGGTAACTTTTTATTTGCTATCACATTACTGGGAAGTGAAGTGTATTTACTGTAGATACTTTGACTATACAGTGGTGAACACTTATCTAAATACTGGTTGTTCCTTAGCTCTGATCCATAGTGCAGACCAGGTTCTGTTCAGCAAGGGGGGTTGGTGAGAGCTTGGCCAAAGGCTTCTGTATTTTGTTCCAGGCAAAGGAAATTGCTTTTACAGCAGAGTCCTAGAAACTTGCAGTAGGATTTTTTTAAAAGAAATTACTCTAAAATCCTCAAATTACCAGCCAAAGCCAGGAAAAACACCCTGAAAGTGACTAAGTTACTGAAAATTAATGTTACAGTATTTCTTAATACCACATTTTTTGCGTTTTTTTTCCTTTGAACCTATAAGCTGACGTTTTTCTTTTCCCTCATTTATCACAGTGATTTCGTGGAAGCCAAAGAATGTTTGAGGGGGTGAATATTCTGGGATCACAGTATTAGTCCTTAGGGAGTTGGGAGGTGAGAAAGGGTTTTCAGGCTCAGTGTTTTAAGGCTCTTATTTACTAAATCTGTAAGTAAAGATGGTAGGAAAAATATCCCTTTCCAGATCAAGTCAGGCAGTTAAAAAAGAAAAGAAATCTTTTCAGGTATGTGGTTCTTTCCTGTTCTTGGGAGACTGATGAAATTATTTATTCTCACTTTTATGATACTTTCCTGGTGAATGAAGCATGTGCTGGGTGTTATACCCACAGGCAAAGAAAATGTGGTGCTATTTATGCAGAGCCTGCCTCATCCAAATTTTAAAAAGATAATACAAGAAACTGATTTTTGGTAACTATTCTTATGGTTGGTTTTAAAAGCAATGATATGAAGTATTAACCTTCCATTTTGCTGTTACCACTTAGATACAAACTTAGGAGTTTTCAGAGATCCATCTTTCAAATGCCAGTGATGCTTCTTGCAAAGGTACACCTTGTTCCTGCAGTGGGAGGAAGTCTGAATGCTTTCAGCCCACTTGGTCTAAATGTCAGGAGTTAATTTCAGCATTCAGTATATTTAAAATAAATTACTTGGATGCATCTCCACAAGCTTTAAGTGGCAGTAGCTCAGAGATGGACATTAATATGGGATAACAGGCAACTCATCTGAAAAATCAGGTGTTTTTTCACCATCTTACATTTTTCATCATCATGTACATCTAAAGATCCTGCAGTGGTTTGGAGAGGGAGAGAGAGAGAAAGCAGGAAGGGGAAAAGGAGGGTCTGGAAACTGGTACTGTAAAAATATGCTACAGAACCCCAGAGAATACACATATCCCCTTGCCTTGAATATTCCTCTAATAACAGGCAGAATCCCAGGTTAGGGGAGAGAATTGAAAAGCTGGAACTTTTTCAATTCAGTATTTTAAACTGCTCCTCTAGTTCAGCAGTAATAGAATAATAGAATAGAATAATCTCCAATGACAGAGTGTACTCAACAAAAATTCTGATAATTGTAAGTTATTGCCTTGACATTGATCTTTGCTAAACAACTGTGATTCTTTGAAGAGAGGAAGAGTTAAAGTTTGAAATTCCTGTAATTTAAGAGCTACCAACATTATAAAGATGCTTCTCTGCTGGGTAAGTTGTATCTTTGCATAATTTATTTATTCCATGAGAGCCCATCTCATTGCATAGTAAATAATTTGGTAGGTTGGATAGCTGGTCATCTTTCCTTGTGTGAGACAGTAATTATAGTGGGTATTTTTTCTCTATTATGACTATAAAATATTTTTTTCTGAAGCCTTAATAGAAATAATTCCAACTTTATACAGATTATTGGACAACTTGTATACTGGGAGGGGGAAAAGAAAAACTTGGGGAGGAGGGGGAAAGACGACTTGGGCACATTTTTGTACCAAGTGAAGCCCTGTGGAACCTTTACAGTGTTTCAGAGCAGATTCTTTGAGCTGAAAGTTCCAGACTCAGCTTCCAGTTTGCTTTTTATCCTGAAGAGCCAGAGCATTTGGCTTGCTCTGAACCTACATCTGGAAAAGCTGCTATTGAAATGGTTTTCAAACAGCTCTGCTGGAAGCTGCCCCAGCAGCTGCTGGGATAATGCAGAGTGGGCTGTTAAAGCAGGCCACAAAAGCAGCCCGAGCTGAGAGACCACTGGCCTGGCTTGTGGGGTCCTGAATTGAGCAATTCTGTGGTGTGCATTCAGCTTTGCAAGTTCTGTCCTTGTGTTAATGCTGCTGCTCAGCATCAGATTAGTTATTGCACGATTCTCGTGGAAAAGTCTTTCTCTAAAAATTGCTCGAGTTGAATGAATCTTTCCCAGTTAGGCCAGTAACAGCACGTGACTGTGTGGAACAGCAGAATGTTCCTGTAGAAGGGAAAGATCAGCTGCTGAGAAATGTGATGGGGAAAAAAAAAATTACACACTTCTATATTCTTTAAAAAAAAAATGAGCCATACTGTCTCTTAGACTGATCTAAATGCTTTCATTTTAAAGACTGCACTTGCATAAAATCCAACAAGCTACTTTCGGTTTTTTTTCTAGAAAATATTTGTACCAAGTGATTCTTACTTTGCATGCTGAATTTACCAAATAGGGGAGGGGTTAGCGGGCTAATTGCTTGCTTTTAAAGAGAGAAAATAAGCAAAATATGAAATATTATACTAATTCCTTAAAGGGAAATGTAGCACCACCCAGTTTTTCTTTGATAACTAACTATCCATCTTAATTTTCCATCATGGTTCAATTAAGATAAATAACATAGCAATAGGTTAAACTGGTGTTATAAAATCTAAAGTGAAGATCTGCTGTTTATTCTTTGTGACCCAAATATGGCTTTGCTTACTTGTAGCTGAAAATAGCTGAACCTCCTCTGAAGCATGGGGATTCACTTTAAATGTACATTAACAGCAGGGAACAATAAAAGGCAGTAAAACTTGTGCTAGCATTCCTGAGTGGATACAGTTCTCTGTCAGGACAAAAACATAGGGTTCTGTAATAAATGGATAAGTTTCTCTTTTCTGGGAACTTAGAAAGGACATGCTAATTTTTTAAATCAATCCACTGGGTTGCTAAATTAAAGTAAAATCATTACATGCAAAGCAGTCGATTGTATTGATGATTCACTGATCCCTCTGATCCTGACACAAATACCTTTCAGCCTGGGGGAGAAGACAAAACATGGGTTTTAGCAATTATTTTAATAGGGTATGATTAGCAAAGCGTGGCTGATCCTTGGGCCCTGCTCTCATGGCATTGAAATCAACAGTAAGTGGGACATTAACTTCATGCAGGAGATGATCAAACCCCTCACCAGGTAACCCAGGGACTCCCTTTTAGGACTTGAATAAGGTTGAAAAGATTATTTTTGGAAAGCAAGCAGAGACAGCTCCTCTCCTTTTGTCTTGAAACAGAGCAAATATTATGTGATATCATAAATAAAACACTTCCTGCCGGCAAGAGCAGGGGAGGAACATCCCATTATCCCATTATCAGTGCCTGTGATCCACCAGCCAAATTCCCAGGAGCGTAGGAGGCCTCTGGCACATGGGCCCTGTCACTTGAGGAGATTATTGCCCCCAGTTCTCTGTCCTTCACTGTGTCAAGGACAACAGGAGGGGACATGTACAACTCCTGCTGCTTGTGCAGTTCTCAGATGTGGGGTCAGGATCAGCTGAGACTGAATAGGGTTAAGTTTCCATTCCAGCCACAGAGCCGTGAGTTCTGTGAGTTCTGGATCAAGGGTGTTTGCCCTGGCAGGACTCTGGTGTCTCAGTCCTGGACACTGATGCTCTGAGTGGTGCCTGCTTGTTGCCCCAGTGCCATGAGTCCCAGCAGTGTCCCTTAGGGCCAGGAGTACCTGCCCCCTCCCCCAGTGCTCTTTCCCAAGTGCTGACAGAGTAGCTTCATATCAGATCCAGAGCTGAAAAGTGTAGCTTTGTCCAGGAGTTATGGCCTGCAGATGCCAGGGTCGGGTCCTCCAGCAGAGTCAGCAGCAGCTACAAATATGGGATTTATCTGCACTGCTTGCTTTTGCACCTCCCTGGTTCTGTGGATGGCTTGGATGAGCCAAGTTCCTGTTACTGAGATGAAGAGGTTCATTACAGAGCCAGCCAGAACAAGATCTGCCAGGGGATGAAATGCCTATCTGAAAAGCATCTTTATAACACTGCCAGCTCTCCAGCTAATGGTTGTACCTGCTTAGGTTTCATGTGTGCTCTATTTGTGTGCCCTTTCAGCCATTCAGGCACTTCCAGGCGCCCCTCTGTCTTGGTTCCCTCTGGGCTGAGATCCCTGTGCGGAGCCGTTCGAATTCCCGGCCCTTCTTTCAGCAGCTCAGTTCCTTTTTGTGAGAGGAGCGACCAAAACATTTGAGAACTGGTGCTCAGAGAAGAGAGGAGAAAAAAATATCAACTCTTGCTCGAGCTATTTAGCTTCAGTTTTTCTTATGAAAAGAAATCCTGCTTATTACAAAATCCAAATCTTCCCTGTGTGCGACCTAATCTTAAATGCTTTTAATTAAGACAGGACACGAGCCCCTAAACCAGATGTGCAGGACAACGTCAGGTGTTGCCACCTCAATTTTTTCATTTTAACACAGAGGAACCGTTAAAAAAAGGAAAAAAAAAAAGTTTACTTTCTGGGACTGAACTAGGATAGGTAATAGTTTCCTGTGTTTCTGCCAACTTGCTTTTGAAAACGGTCTCATCCAAAGCCTGAGTAGAGTGAAGAGCCTGCCATTGTCTTCTGAGTGGCAGTTTGGGGCTGTAATTATTGTCCTCAAACGTAATCCAAATGTATTTCCCGGAGTTTTTGTCTTTAAATTCCCTGTGCTAACATTTGCAAAATACAGAATGTTGAAAAATGCAACTGAAGGTCTCTGGTAGTAACAATAAGAGAAGCAAATTGTGGCTAAGAAAGCAAATGTCTGGTTGTGAAACTTTTCCACCGTGGAAGGGCTCTCCCAGCAATTCAGTGTGGGGAAAAGGACCAAATGATTACCTAAGTTTCTCTTTTTTCTTGTATTTTCTTTATTCGTGGTAAGCTGAGTAGAAACTTGGCCTATTTTATGGAAAGACTATAAAAAAAAGAGTTTATAGATCGCTCAATTCTTGAATTTTAAAAAAAGCGTTGATTAGTAATGAACGAAATATCACATAATATATTTTTAATGATACGAGAGGGTTTTTTCCCCAAATACATTTCTCAACAAACTTAGTAAAAAAAATCCTATTCCAATAATCTAGTTTCCAGTTTTACCTTGGATTTTATTTGAATTTTAATGGAATTGTAAATTTATACTTGAACTGTGAATTCAAATGTTGTTTACAACCAACTTTGCTAGGATTCTGACTGAAATGTAGTGTAGCTCTTCATAACAGTGAAAAATAGAGCAATTTGCTGTTCTTCAGTATAAATGGTATAAATTTCCTATTGCAAAGGAAAAAAAGAAATAGCAAGGGTTTAGCTTTTAATAATAAATCTATAAGTAAACAGTAAGAGGAGCAAGTAAAAATATTTGAGAATTTCTGAATACTGAGTGATTTCATTAGATCAAGGTGATAATGCAGAATTCTTTATTTCTGCCAGAACGTTTTTGCCATGCTGCTTGAAAATGAGCTCAGGATGGAAAAACACAGTTACTGATTTCTTGCTGTTAAGTGAAAGAATCACAGAAATTTCCCATATAAATTCTTCAAGGTTTTACTCAACAATTGTCCCATTAAAGAACATGTTTTCAGGATTTTTCCTTTCTGCTGTGTGCTCTCCCCGTGCCCTCAGAATTGTGAATATCTTATGTTTTCTCTGGTATGTTAAATGCTTTATTTACCTTTCAGCACACTTCAGACAAGCTTTTCACTTGCTTCCAGGAAAGTTTAAGGGCAGCAGATAGGTATGGACTGATCTTTGAAAGAGGTATTTGTAAATTCTATGCTTCATTTGCTGAAACACAAACAAAATTAAATAATCTGTGCACGTACCTCTGATATCATATTTTTTCCCCAGCTGAAAATGGAGCTAAGAAACGTTTAACTTGGTCCTGTTCAAAAGCAAGTAATCAAGTGGTTGCTGAGCATTAAATTCTGTTCTTGACTCATCAGTTGCCTCATAAGTTATATAAGATTTATGGTCTTGTTTGGAGCATTATCTCACTTTGTAAGCCCTTGGCATTTGGGCCAGGCTGTAACTGGTACCTCAGGGGTGGCTATTTTAATCTTTCCTGTAATCCCTGCTCACTACCTGGGGAAGTTAAGGAGCTCTTTCCCTATTTTTATGGAGGTGCTGTGCAGGTGGAAGGAAATGGAACTCCTGCAACTCCTTGTAGTCATTTAAATTCTGTTTGTGGCAACCCTGCTCCTTGAGGAATGGGTTGGTCCCTATTCCATGTATCTGTGATGTCTGTTTGTACACACAAATACATCACAAATGCCTTTCTAGCTTGTTGTACTCAAGCACATGCTATTTTAGGCTGACATTTTCCAGCCAGGCCTGAGGGAGTGAGATGGCTGAATTAGATTCAGTTTGACTGATTTGGACCTTGAACATCTCTGAACTAAGATCCCGGTGATAGACAGTGGGGCTGGGCTAAACCAACGTTATTAACTCTTCAGTAATGCAAAAAATGTACATATTTTTCTCTTTTTTTTCCCCAACAAAATGGCCATATAAGTGAATTATCAGTGCAAATATAGGACTTGAAGCCTGGGATAATATTTTGTTTAGTGAATGTGTAAGAAATACATGCACTGGAGGTGAAGCTTCCATAGTGTTAAAACCACTCAGCTGTTTTAATTTGGAGATGATATGAGCACTTCCTATGAAAACACTACACTGTTGGTGATTAAATATATGCATATTTTATTGAGTGACAAGTAATTCATTGTTGCTGGTTCTCTCATGAAAAAGAATTGGTTTAGATCATCACACCAAAAGTGCCATAAAATTTTAATACACTAATTTATATAATAAATGTTCAGGAAAGTACTAGTGTGTCTTGCACAGCATAAGGGATGACATATATAAGCAGGAAATACAAATTGTGAAAGTTTAGAGCAAATAGAACTGATTCCACAATGGCTGTGACCATGGCCCAGATCTGCTGTGGACACTCAGCACAATTAGCCTTGTACTGAACTGGGGCATCAGCACCCTGGGCAAGAACAGCAGAGTTACAGAACTGTCTCCCTGCCTGGTGCCTGCTGTGCTGTGCACACTCTGTGTTCAAATGCTCTTTAAAGAACACAGTCTGGAAGTGGCTCAAGCATTGAGAAGCAAAGAGGGAAACAATTCCTAACAAGGCTGCCTGTGTGCAGCTCTGTTCTGATATCACCCTTTGAAGGTTTACACTGAAGTGCTCTTTGCCTCACAAGCTACTTCAGACTAATATCATTTATGGGAAGAGCTATAAACAAGAGGGAAATGTCTTGAATGCTTTTCAGTGCTGGGGAGAAGTGTTATTATAGCAGTCTGACACCAGCTGACACTGGCCACCCTGGTAAGGCCACTCTGCCTCAGGTCATCATCATTTTGCCACCCAGCATAGTAGGAAACAACTGCAAGACTGTAATCCATGGACTTCCCCTCTCCAAACTGTGCATCCAGAAGCGTTGAAATGAATAAAATACACCAACATTTGTCTGATACAGCTGTTTCTGCAGTCATCTAAACCAGTATGAGCAGTTACCCAATACAGTCTGGAAAACTTGGAACTTATATTCCAATAAGGGAGGAAGTGTCCTTGTATTCTAAAGTCTTGGGGAAGATGATTGTGGTCTTTGTGTCTCTGGAATATTAGGAAGTCTAATAAACATTAGTCATAGTGGTAACACAAGAACTGGTAAGTGACCTCAGAATGGACATTTACGCCCTTCTTTTGAAATGACCTGAAATTTCGGGTGAGGTTGCCCACACATTGTGCCCCGATGTGCTCCATCAATCTGCTTTCAGAGCACTTCAATTACAGTTTCTGAAGCCCTTGATGTTTTGAGAGCTGGTTTACCTGTGTGATCCCCTCTCATCAGCATGAAAGTCAGGACATTCCTTTGATGTCATCTACAACTGACTGTCTTCTGGAATTGATGATGGAAGTCTTTGCAGAAAGTTGTCACCTCTGGGAACCACAGTCCAAAACACTCTTAATATTTTCATCCTCTTCCTCCAATCAGCCTAACAACAGGAGGATGATCTGATTGTAAGAACTTTTCTGGCTGCAAGAAGAGAAGTGGCTTTTCTTACCCTTTTAAGGAAGTTCTCCCTGTGGTCTCCAAGACTTGTAAATAGCTCCAGAAAGTTAAAGCACTTAAGATTTTTAAGTGACCAATTTACACGTACTGTTGGAGTTTTCTGGGAAAAGAGATGACCAGTAATCTCTAGCTGGAATTTATATGATATTGCAGTCATCAACTATTGCCAGCCTTATCAGCTGCACTGTGAATTTGGGTTTGGATTGTTTGCCAAATTATTTTTCAGTGTTTATGACTGTCAGCCCACTGGAGATTCGGTGCAGCTGTACAGACCCAGCAGTGATCCAGTTTGAATCCAGAGCTGCAAACGTGCTGGAATGGAACAGAAGGTGAAGGATTATAGTGCTACCTAATGAAGGGACAGCCACAATTACAAAAAAATACCTTGCAGGAAGGCTCTAGTCTGCAATGGAAGATTAGGTATGAAAAAAGAGGACAAAGCTATTGTTGTTCATAATCAAAGCTCTTTTCACTGCTGCACTGCTCAGCAAAAATTGAGAATTTTTTGCTTTGGAGTTGTTGCTGTGTTTCTTCTGAAATTCTTGGAGCAAGAAAGCAAAGCTATTAATGTAACTGCTAAGTCAAAATAAGGAGGCAAATACAGAGAAGCACAAGGGAAATCAAATGGTTTAGTGGCTAAAATACTGATAGGATTCATGTAAACTTAGATATGAGAGTAAGTTTGCTTTTCTGATTAGTACATATTTCTATTTCTATAATTTCACTTCAAGCCTCTTGAAGATAACTTATCTCTTGGTTGACTGATGGGAAAGAAGGAAAGTCCAAGGGACCTGAAAACACTGGGGACCACATTCAACTGTCATGAACAAAATGAGAAGTTTGCTTATGTCTGTCATGTGGGTTGGGAAAGTCAAATACTGCTGGAAAGGGGTTTTATTTCCCTTCCATTTATTTTCCTTCTGTAAACTTGCCATCCACAAATATTTCATGGCCTTCCTGTCTCTGGTCACTTGAAGCAGAAACATTCTTTAAATTACTTTGGCAGCAGCACTTTTATAAACCAAAGAAATACTGATTAGAGATCACTGTGTGGAAGTTTTATCCTCTCCCCACATATTGTGTTTAACTGACCTGCTTGACCTGGGTGCTGGTGCAGGGAGGGAGGTTAAAGGATACGGGCCTGTCCTCATCTTTGAGTGACAACATTTGTTGTCTGCAGCAAATGTATTAAAATATTTTAACAGAATTTCCTCAGTTCTGCAAAATCTCTGTTCTACCTTGATTTCTTCCTTGGCACCAATTCCCAGAAATAAGCAGATTTTCTTCCTTGTTCCAACATTCACTGGAGTTTGCTCTCATTGAACAGATGAGTCTGTACAACCCCTTGGACATTCCATATTATTGCACTTGGAGCTATAACATGGAATGCAAATTATGAAGCAAATTGCAGAGTTTTCTGCATTGAGCTGAATTTCAGTTTTACCAATTCGTGAGGATTTTTTCTCCCCCAAAAGATCCTTGCTCTAGCTTTGTATAAATAACAACACAGAGAAATACTACTCACTTTAGAGGTGTGTTTTAATGTTCTCCTTGCAGTATTTGCATAGCAGTGAGTTCTGTGCCACAGACAGAATTCAAGAAGGAAAGATAAAACTGAAAAATCCAAATAAAATAAAATATATCAAATAGGACAACGTGCTGTCAATAAGTTAACAGAGTGCCTTAGAGCAAATGCTCACTGCCAGCTCTCTGAAAGGTGGTGCTTCTGTCTGAATATCAGGGCATGACTTCTGTCCCTACTGAGCAAGGAAAGTCCCTTTTGTGTGGTTCACCTTCTGTGGGGTTTGGACACTTCTCCTATCGGGTGTTGAACAAACTCAAACACTTTATGACAGCAGCAGAGGTCGAACCCTGGGGGTCTTCTAAGCACTTAGGTTGTGATACTTTTATCTGCTTTGCTCCTTTCCCTCTTTGCTGTTCCCTTTCCATGCTGCTGTTGTGCATTGATGCTTGACTTTGTCTTTCAGCAAGGAGAAGTCTCTTTAGCAGTCATTTCATGTTCTTTCAGTGCAGCCCTTCCCCGAGGAGCTGAAGGAAAGGGACAGTTTTTCAAACCAAAAGGATTTGCCATTCCCCCTGAGTTGCTTGGGAAGTCGTGCATGTGTGGTGAAGGGCTCAGGGAGGAAACACCTGCAAAGGGAAGTAGGAAAAATTTCTTTGCTTCTCTGCCCTGGTTTTTCTCTGCCCCAGGGATGGCCAAAGTCACTGAGAGCTGAGCCCTCTCACCAGGGAAATACAGCATGTCCTGTCATCAACCTGTACAAACTTGGCATAGGTGTTAAAGGCTGGCATGAGGGACCACATCAATCTTCCAGGGAAGTGGGCTGCTCCATTTCACAATATTGGTTTCCTCTTTCTCCACTTATTGAAGGGTATATTAAGGCTATTTAGACTGATTTTTTTAAAACCTAAAGTAGAGGCCAAGCCATGGTGCATTTATCCACCTGTTTTTCCAAATCCAGACTGATCCATTTCTCAACCTACTGTCTTAAGCTAGAATAAGGAAAATATTTCAAAATTAAAAAAAAAAAAAAAAATCATAGCTGTACGGATTTAACAGCTATAGAATAAACCAGCAACAAAATCCAAATGAAAGCAGGATTCATCTAAGCCATGTTCTTTATTTCCTAGCTCTTCCATCCTTCCCTGCATTTTCCTGTACATCATTGAAGATGTACATGTTAAAACACCTGTTGTGTTTTACCCCAGAGTAAAATCTGTGAAGGTCAGGAGTGACCTTACACATTAGTCACCTCTAAGGACAGGATATACACAGAGAATGCCTGTTTTTCAAAAATATAAACCACACGAAACAGATCTGGTATAAATTTCTCCTTTGGTTTTAGATGTTTTTCAAACATCTAAATAAAATTAATGTAAAATATTAGTGTTTTTTTCCCTGATAGGAGCATGCCAAGGATGTCTCCCCACAGACCCACCCAGTCATGCAGCACTGAACACTGCAGGGATGTGTTCTCTAACAGGCAGATTTGTGTTTTGGATGTGTTTGTCTGGTTGGGTTCTATTT